TATTATTATTATTATTATTATTATTATTATTTATACCCCGCCCCTCTTTTAAAACAATTGGGGCGGCTTTCAACAATTAAAATAGTTGATATTTTGGTCAAAGACTGTAAATAAATTCTATTCTATTCTATTCTAATAGAGACTCCACTAAAATCATTATAAGTTTGGCATTGCATATATTTTCTTGCATTTTCATTCCTAACTTTCAAACGTAACATTCCCTTCGTATTTAACATTCGCCGCTTCCATAAGTGCGTATCTTTTTTTATTTACAGAATAAATCAGAATACAAGAACAAGATATGCGTACAAATATAATATACATATATTTGTACACATATCTTGTTATTCTTGTATTCTGATTTATCTTTGCATGCTCTAATTCTTATTGTCACGAAAAAACAAAAACAAAAAACACCCTTATGCAAAATAATATTTATTTTATTACTTCCTTGCTTTACCCCTTGTAAAAATAAAGGATTGCAAAACTTTATGAATTAATCATTTTTCTATATTTTTCATTCTTGGAGGATATTTTTTAAATCAATATTATCTTCCCTCATTTTTTTTCCTCATATAGTCTGCAACTCCTTCCCAATCTTTAAGTAATTCTGTATTTGATTTATAACATAGGGTTTTTTTTTAGACAGATTATTTATTTCCATCATGCAAGAGTTCAGTGGTGGTTTTGGGACCTTCCTGGCTCATCCAGGTAGATGGATAAACCCTAAATATTTTGCCTTGGTTGTTAACTCCATATGCAACCCTACTTTCTTTATCCTCTGCAAAAAAACGACCGGCTTTAAATTGTGAAATCTAAAGTTGCGGGATGGACTGAGTCACAGAGAAGATGCCAAAAAGAGTTGCAACATCCAAAGTGTGCTGAGCTTGTAACCTGAAATCAACGAGATTTTTATCCAAAAGATCTAGTTAGATGCTCTGCCTAGCAAACTAATCCCCGGGATCAAGGGTTTTTCTTTGCAGCGGAGACTCCTGCATTCCAGCGTGCCACGAAACCATCCGCCAAATTTTGTTTGCTTTGCATCATCTTTTCCACTATTTTAGGATGGGCGGGCAAGTCGCTAGGCTTTTCGGAATTTGTTTCGAGAGTAAAGAATAAAGGCATGCCTGCATAGGTGTGATCAGAATTAGATTCAAGTGCATTTACTATCTCTTTGCATCGATGCATAATTGTTGTACTTTGATTTTCCATGCCTTGGCTCAGTCAGCAAACAAAATGGAGACTTTAGTCAAGGTATCGCAAGAGGCTTTGGAAAGGTAACAAGATATAAATTAGAAAACATGCTCGGGTAGCTGTGTTGGCTATTTAGCAAATTCAAACAAAAACCCACCAAATAGTAATACTTTTCTTGGCCAACCCAAATGCACAATATACTTGTGGCAAGCTTTCAAAGCTCCACTGGCTTCTTCTTCTTCATCAGGCAAGATGTTACAAACCAAAGAAGGGAAAAACCATTGGAGATGTTAGTCAGATGCCTACATGTTGTTTCAGTCTTTAGTTAAGGTGGTAATAATAATAATAATAACAGAAATCCATCAGTGATACCTTTGTTGGCCAACCGAAATGCACAATATCCTTGTTGCAAGCTTTCAAAGCTCCATGGGCTTCTTCTTCATCAGGGAAAATGTCACAAACCAAAGAGGAGAAAAACCATTGGAGATGTTAGCCAAATAGATTACATGTTGTTTCAGTCTTGAGTTAAGATGGTAGATAAATGATGGGGATGATATCTTTTGC